ACCAAATATTTCTATCATGCATAGACATCTATTCGAAATTCGCATCACTCATTGAGGTGAAAAGTAGAGATTGGTTAGAAGCAAAGATTTCGAAGCAAACAATTCCGTCACTACATGTAAAAACGGAGTATCCGATATAGAGAGGTTCCATAAAACAGTAAACGAGAAACTAAAAATCATTGGCAGCGAACAAAACATAGAGGATAGATGTACAAAATTTGAAACAATCCTATTTGTTTACAATCATAAACCAAACATAACACTACCAAAGAACTCCGGCAGCCCAGACTTTAATGTCCAGCAAAATAAAATCGACAAAATCAATAAACTTAATGAAAAGAGACATGAGTTTGCAATCAACACGAGATATAGACAAACTCCACTTGCAAAAAGCAAGGTAAACAACCCATTCAAGAAAACAGAACATTTCGAAGAGACAATCGCGGTAGGAAAATCGTACACTATAAGTCAAAATTCAAAAAGCAGAAGAAAATTAATAATAGTAAATACGATAATTCCAGACAACCCAAAGAGAGTTAAGCGATGCCATATACTTCCCTATATTACTTATTTGTATGATACCCTTTATCACCAATCCAGTAATACAGAAGTAAACCCACTCAATGCCAAGAATGGATACGTTATATTCCAAACAGGAACAATAGAAATTCCGATAAGCTACGAATACCATTACTTAAGTATTAAAATAACGAAGACAATGCTAACAGTTGAGAACCTAGTAGAAGAGGCAAAAGTCTTTTCAAATGTACCCCAAATTCAATATCTAGTTGAGAAATTAAAAATGGGAAATCAATGGACTAAGAATTATTAAACGAAGTAAAAGAGGTCTTTTAAATGTAGTAGGAACAGCGTATAAATATTTATTTGGCACCTTAGACCAGAACGATAGGGATGAGTTGGAAGGAAAAATCAATAACCTTTCAGAAAATTCCGTGAAAACCCAAGACTTAAACATGGTTATAGACGTAATCAACAGCGGAATAGACATTATTAACAAGTTCAGAGTAGAGAAAGAAAAGAACCAACAGATCGCGATATTAATATTCAATTTACAGCAATTCCCAGAATTAGGAATGCAGCTAACTAGGATAGGAATCTATAACCCGAAACTATTAAAACATGATTACTTGAAACAATTAAACTCAGAAAAAATGTTAAAAATAAAAACATCAACTTGACTTAAAACAGATACAAACGAGATTTTAATTATTTCCCATATTCCAAGCGAAGTCACAAAAGTTCCAATCTTTCAAGTAGTCCCGTACCCAGATGAACATAATAATATTCTAACTGAGCAAATATTCGATAAGTTCTATATTTTCAATAATCAAGTATACCATAAGGATACAGGGTTAGTAATATATGACAAATGCATAGTTGGATTAATCAAACAAGAAGAAACTCAGTGTAAATACACTAAGACTCACAAAAATTTTCAGATCAATTACATATAACCGAATATACTAATTACATGGAATCTACCAGAAACAACTATCAATCAAGATTGCACTAACAACAAAATTGTAATATCAGGAAATAATATTGTAAAGATTAAAAATTGTACAATCCAAATTGATGAATTCATAATTTCAAACAATCTAGCAGATTTACTTTCAAGTAGTCCCGTACCCAGATGAACATAATAATATTCTAACTGAGCAAATATTCGATAAGTTCTATATTTTCAATAATCAAGTATACCATAAGGATACAGGGTTAGTAATATATGACAAATGCATAGTTGGATTAATCAAACAAGAAGAAACTCAGTGTAAATACACTAAGACTCACAAAAATTTCCAGATCAATTACATATAACCGAATATACTAATTACATAGAATCTACCAGAAACAACTATCAATCAAGATTGCACTAACAACAAAATTGTAATATCAGGAAATAATATTGTAAAGATTAAAAATTGTACAATCCAAATTGATGAATTCATAATTTCAAACAATCTAGCAGATTTACTTTCAAGTAGTCCCGTACCCAGATGAACATAATAATATTCTAACTGAGCAAATATTCGATAAGTTCTATATTTTCAATAATCAAGTATACCATAAGGATACAGGGTTAGTAATATATGACAAATGCATAGTTGGATTAATCAAACAAGAAGAAACTCAGTGTAAATACACTAAGACTCACAAAAATTTCCAGATCAATTACATATAACCGAATATACTAATTACATAGAATCTACCAGAAACAACTATCAATCAAGATTGCACTAACAACAAAATTGTAATATCAGGAAATAATATTGTAAAGATTAAAAATTTTACAATCCAAATTGATGAATTCATAATTTCAAACAATCTAGCAGATTTTACACAAACAATTTACATTACTAATAATGTTACAAAATTAGAACCCATAGAGTATTTACAAACCAAAGAAATAATAAATTCACATGTAAAATACTACAATGTATTCCAAATAATATGTGTGACAACTTTTGTAATTATAACTATAAGCCTAATTCTGTACTCAACATATAAGTTTAAAAATATACCTAAGAAAATAATGATAAAATATTGTAAACCAAAAGAAGAACATCCGCACCCAGAAACTTTTGATAATATTCAATCAGAAAATAATTTAATTCAATCACATAATTTTATGTTATACCCAAATTGTCCAAATTTAGTGACCTGAGGACAGGCCAAAAACAAAGGTTGGGGGAGTGACATATCCAAAAGTCCCTTAGACTTAAGCACATGCCTACTTATTTACACACACAACAAGCATACCCAATACTACCCTATACCTCACAATTGTAAATCTCGGCCCCTAGATAAGAATAAAACCGTCAGCAGAATCCCAGAACCAAAGCCAAGCGGAAAAACCCCAAGTAATACGAATACAGGATGTTATTTAAACAAATCACCCATTGGTAGACTAAACATTCTTTGCATAATTGTCAAGTTCCCACGTTCAAAGTTCGGACTCGCAAACTCGAAAACAAAAGTTTTAAATTTCAAGTAAACAAAATCTTAAGAATCTAATAATTTTCACTTGAATCCAAGAGCGAATGCACTTGGATCCAAGAGAAATGCAGATAACTCCAAAGCTCTCTCTCTAATCCTAAAATCCAAAGTCCATATTTGAAAAGCTCGAACCCGAGGCTTGAACGTTAATCAATCTAGATCAATAAGAAGAGTTCAGTTTGAGACTAAAATTAAGAAGGTCGTTGTTCTCCAAAAATAAAGTGTTGTGGAAGTGGAAATACCAACATATAATTATATATATATTAGCGGAAATTAATATTCCTCTGCCATTTTCGAAAGTTTATGAAGACGTTAATGCAGCGTTAATTCGATTACAGCGAAAAACACTTAAGATCATCGTACATCGATGCAATCGCAATATTTATCACGCCATTAAGCTACAGGCCATAGCTTAGTATTTACCTTTGTAAATAGCAATATAAAAAAACATTAAATACATATATTTTTAATCAGTATCAGTACCTCAGTCGATTTAGCTATGTCCGTCCAGCTTGGACGGAATAGTTGTTGGTATACAACTACATTTTTAATTATCACTAATTTACATGTCATAAGAAAAGTACGGAAATGATCTGCTTATTAATGGAAATCGTTGTTTTACTCGTTGTTATTCGTAGAGTAAAGTGTACACTAAAATACTTGAAGAGTAGAAACAAGTAGAAGGAAACATTTTCGACACTATAAAGTATAAAATATATATAATATATATAATATTATATATATATATATATATGTATATATAATATAAAGCCGCGTCAAATTGACCATGACCGTCTGTCCGTCCGTATCAACGCCCCGATCTCAGGAATTAAAAAAGCTAAAAAGAGCTTGAGAAGAAAAAAAGAGCACGCAGATTCCAGAGAAACAGCCGCAGCGAAATATTGTTTCCCTTCAACCGCCCCAAACTGTCTTGACCACACTTCTATTATTTATTTATGTATTTAATTATTATTTGTCTTGCCAATTTCTACCCACGCTTTTGACAATTGTTTTAATAATAATTCGTTTTGGCATTTGTATTGCCCATATAGGCTACGACAAAGTATCCAAAAGACCACCCAAACTTTTGTTTTTTTTAATTTGATATGCGAAGTTTTTTAAAACAAAATGTTAGTCAATTTCAGCAAATCTATGACCCTATCTTATAAAGAATATATTTCGGAAAGTAACTATAAAAATATGTGTAATATGTCAATAATTGGGGAATCTTAAGGAAGGGAATCTTGGGGAATTAACATCTATACAATTACAAAACGCTTTTTAAAAACGATTAAAAATGTAAAAAAAGAAAATCATTGCTTTCTTCCCAAATGTGGGTGTTTTTTGTTATTAAGTATCTATGTAGTGAATATTACTAGCCCACCAGCCCCAAAACGTCAAATTTGTACTATAACACTTTCACCGCTTATTTTACTGAATTTAATAAATGTATGCAATAACGCAAGTACACAAAGGTTTATTCAACCTTTCCTTCAATATCGATTATATACTAGCGCAAGTGTGTGTACTTATTGAGTGCAGGCCCGCGATCTACCATCTGGACCTATGTAATAATACAATTAAACTAACACAAGTTATTTATAGATATCGAAATAAACAGCTATAGAGCTATATATGATTATATCATATTGGACTGTGGTTCCTGGGTATGAACTGATTACCAAATTTACCGATAAGAAACTATCATCTGGATTGATATAATATATTTTCTTGATCTAAGAATTTTTTAATCTTTCTTTGTTAAAGCTAATCATTTGCTAAGGTAATGTAATTGTAAAAAAATTAAATGAATAGAATAAAAAAAATTCACACGCAAAAATCGTTGACATTGTACAATCGATTATAATTAATTGATTATTAATTTGGAGCTATCAATGAATATATATGACTACACATGTAGTCACATACTAAACGGCAAATGAAAATTATGCAAAAATACAAAACACGAACTTTATACTTACCGCAGACTATAACTACTAGATTCCTCGTCTTCATTGGGTTCAATAAACTGTAACTGGGATCTTTTATGCCTCCACCACAAGTATCCTCCAGCCAGAAAAAGAGCGATTGCAATAATTAAACCCAATATAGCCAGGCAAGCTATAAGAACTATGCTTGCCATTTCTGCAATAGTAAAAAGTAAGGGTAACATTTTAATGCATGAAAATTCAGGTTAAGGAAACGAAGAAATCGATTATGTAAGATATAATATCATGCATACATATTTATTTCATGCAGATAAAAACGTAACTTGTAGAACTAAGGCGTTTAATAATATATAATAACAACACACATCTTATTTAAGGCCAAATACATATATTATACCACAGTCAATAGTAAGTAAGTCGTACTTTAAAATGTAAATAATATATTTTTGCTATTTAGTGGCTTTCTATTTAATAGAGTACACATTGCTGATTCAACTGATATAAAGCTCGAAAAATTTGGTGCAAAATGTTATTATTTGTTTGTTATTAGTTCGGTGGCACAATGGTTGCAGCTGCCGGAGTGCTCAATTGAGTAATGAGCAGAACAAACTAATAAAACATTCAGGAAAATAGTTGAAGTACTCTCTGTTTAAACACCGTTTTGTTAGATTGCGTGTTGTTATTAAAAATTTAAGTGTTTCCTTCGAATTTAATAAAAGGCAAGCACTGTATTTTACTTCAAAACTACTTTATTCTTAAAACAATTTGTCGTATAAGTTAATATCAAGCAACTACTTATGCCAATGAAAACACTTTGAATACATTTTTTTATAAGAGCTCGATTGCGTGAAAAGCTCGACTCTGTGCGCAAGTCTGTTGAAAATACTAGTGTATGTACGTACATAGGTACGAGATATATTGCGAAGTACTTTGAAGCGTTCACCGTTTTCCAAACTACATATAATTGTGGCTTAGTACAATATGCATGGAGTTGTCCCAGTCATTAGGAATATCTAAATACTGCACTTCGGCAAAAAAAAAACTGAAGGAAAATTCTGAAAACGTCTATCTAACATTTCTTTGAAAAATGCATCGAAAGGTCGATAATATAGTTATCGCGATACACTAATGTCCAAAAATAATATATATACAAAAATTAAGATTCTGATCGTGAGCGATAGGTACGCGCGAACAAAATGTGCTCGTTGGCCCCAATATTTTAAGGAAATAATATTCAATTTTTGCGTTGTTACACTTTAAACTTAAAGTACATATGCATATGTGTTAAAATGCTCGATACTGACGACTATTAAAAACACCGCTTGGGAAGCAGAAATAAGTATCTAAATTTGTGGTGGATCTCTTTTCAATTTAAAACTTATACATATATGCAGAAGATTTTATACGGAACATCAGACAGGCAAACAAAACGAACAACAACTTTTACTTTTTTTTGTCTTTACTTGGTGTGTCACTTCTTTGTATGAAACTTATTGGGCAGATACCAGGAGGTATATTTTTAAATAGCCTTCGTAAGGATATTATCAATTACATCCCTTACCAATCCTTTGGCGCAATTCTCAGAAAAACTCTGTTTTAAAATAAGAAGATAATATCTATTGAAGAATTGTTGTGAAAATTATTGCTGTATATCTAATGAGTTAACTCGATTTACCAGTTCCAAAGCTTAAAATAATCAATTTTTTAAGCAATAGGAAAATGTTTCATTTGTAACGTACGTAATGGCTATTAACGTAATAGCTGCTTATCTCGTTGCATTGGCATAGGCATGTGTGAATATGTTGTAAGAACTATTGGACGCTGTTGTTTGAGCAGCGATTTGGTATATTTTAAGCAAGGTGGTATAATTTTTGAGTCCGAGTGCGGTCATCCTGATGACAAATCGTTTTTATCCAGTGCTTTTCGGAACTGCGAGTCAGCATATGCATATGTATATGTAGTAAAGTTTTAGGTTGCCAAGATGATTATTACAATAAAAAATCTCCAACAGCAAACTTTTACTATAGAGTTTGCCCCGGAAAAAACGGTATGTGTTATATAAAGGCATATTCGAATATATTCACATATATGTACATATATACAATTATTGCAATATTCATGTATGTATATACTTGAATTTGCTACAAATAATTTGTGATACCTAATAAGCAGTGTTTCCGTTTAACAAGGTTTTGGAACTCAAAAAGAAAATATTCGACGAGCGTGGTCCAGAGTACGTCGCCGAAAAACAAAAACTGATTTATGCTGGCGTCATATTGACTGATGACCGTACCGTAGATTCATACAATGTTGATGACAAAAAATTCATTGTGGTAATGTTGACACGCGATTCATCTAGTTCAAATCCAAATCAACTTAGTGTAAAAGAAAGTGACAAATTGATTAGTACCGATGATTCAAAGGATTCAATGCCTGGCGAAGAAGCCAACCATAGTAATTCCCCTTGCACCAAAAATACGGAAGAGTCCGTTTTGCCAAGCGAAACCACACCGTTATCTACTGACAACTTGATTGGTGATTTGGCCCAGGCTTCCTTACAATCGCGCGCTGAATCTAATTTGCTTATGGGTGAGGAATACAACCAAACTGTCCTATCAATGGTGGAAATGGGTTACCCACGAGAGGAGGTGGAACGTGCGATGGCTGCTAGCTATAACAACCCGGAAAGAGCCGTTGAATATCTCATTAATGGCATACCTGAAGAGGAAGGTACTATTGACAATGGCGTCAATGAATCAACGAATCCTAGTGTAATCGCCTCCGGACCACAAACTGTGTCGGCATCCTCTGTAGAGCGTCCAGCAGAATCAAATTCAGGTAACTAGACAATGTTTAGTAGTAAACTAAAAAGATGGGGTGCATCGAGGCAAAAACTTGTGACAATCGCACCTTCAGCATGCATAATTTGTGATATCAACTAAATGTAGTGAAATAATACTGTTTTGTTCGTGCTGCTTAATAATATTGCTTATAACTTAAATTGCACATACCTTAGGAAGTTTATGCATAGTCAAATATACAATCATTAAAGAGATCTTAGTACTGGAAATATACATATGTACATATATAGTAGTTAAGGACTCACTTAAATGTTTGTGCGCACACTACCTCGCAGTATCATTTACATACATACACCAACAGGTACTCAAGAAACAGAATTCACCGAATTTTTGTCACAATTATCATCAAGGACGGGGTAAACCTATATGCTTTAAGTTAATTAATTAAAAAATCATTTTTCAGACCCCTTTGAATTTTTACGTAGACAGCCACAGTTTCTTCAAATGCGTTCCTTAATATATCAAAACCCTCACCTTTTGCATGCGGTATTGCAGCAGGTAAGTACAATAATAATTATGTGACTCGTAAAGCTTACCTATTCTTACGAATAGATTGGTCAGACAAACCCAGCCCTTTTACAACTTATTTCGGAGAACCAGGATGCGTTCCTTAATATGCTAAATCAACCGATTGAACGTGAATCAGAGTCAAGCACGACAGTACCCGGCGTTTCAAGTGCGGGAACTCATTCAACTCAGGGGAATGTTAGTAACCTGTTTTCGTCAGATTTAGGAGCCGCTTCAGCCCAAAGATCAACCGCGGGTACAAGTGCAGCTCAGCAAAGCGGTAGCTCAGCGGAACACGAAGATTTGGAACAACCTTTAGGAGCCTCAACCATTCGTCTAAATCGCCAAGATCAAGACGCAATAGAACGGGTATAAGACTGAATAATTGTATATAGACTGTCGAGTTACATAATATTTTTTTTATAGCTTAAAGCTCTTGGATTTCCAGAGGCCCTTGTACTACAAGCGTACTTCGCTTGTGAAAAGAACGAGGAACTAGCAGCTAATTTTTTGCTTTCTTCTAGCTTCGATGATTAAGTTGACCAAATGTAAGAAGTTATACATATAAAATACACCGGAAGCGTAACAATTAAAGTTAGATGTTTTAAAATTAAATGTACAATGTCAATCAAAAATGTTTCTATATTATTTTAATACGTCGGTGTATTTCTATGCTTATGATTTTGTTGAACACAGCAGCCATAGGTGAAATACAGGAAATAATTGTTTAAAAAACGTATTATACCATGTCAGTATCATCAGCATAAGTGTTAAAACACATTTTCCTATTCGCGTTTCAGGCGGTGGTGTAGACTGATCATGTATGCTAATTTATCAGTTTGTTTTTTTTTTTATTAAACGAAATTATTTAACTTGACTAGCGTACTATTATCCTTCTTGGACAACTTAATCTAATCTGTATCAATTTAAACGATTCTTAATATCTAAGTTATTTACAAAGATTATATGAATTCGATTATTAAAGAAATGGAAATAGTGTTAACGTTATAATATTTAGGAATTTATAATTAGGTAGGATTTATGTCAAGTCCCGGTCGGTCAGGTCTTGAGGGTGGTGGCGTTTCAGTCTTCTCGTTCTTGTCCGTTGGCTTTGGGCTGCGATACTTAGTCGTCTAGCTAGACTATTAGGATGTGATTCTAGTCTGTCATTGTACTTTTTCGCTATGTCCCGAATCCTGTCTCCAATTTTTGGCACCTTTAGATCACGTTCAATATCTCTGGTTCTCATGTACCAAGGAGCGCCTGTGATCTGCCTCAGTGTTTTTGCCTGAAGAACCCGAATTTTATTCAGGTGCGTTTTGGCAGCGATTCCATACACCTGTATGGTATAAAATAGACCAGGAGCTAATATGCTCTTGTATATATTATTTTAACCTTGTTGGCGAGGGAAAGTTTGTTGCGGGCAGCAATTAACCAGGCCATTTTGGAGACATTAGTTTTAAAGGACTTCTGTATGCCTTCCGAAGGTTAAACTTCTATCTAGAATCACACCAAGATATTATTTGCATGATGACTTGTGGTCAAGAACTCTTCTTTAAGTGAGACACAACGGCAACTACTTAGTCGATTTTTGAAGGTGACGTTTACACATTTGTCAGCATTGATGCAGACGTTCCACAACTCTGCCCAATTCTGGAATGCGTCCAGGTACTCTTGCAGTGCGTCCGAGGCCTCGATAATGCTGTTGCTTTTTGTCAGAACCGCAGTGTCTGCATATGTTGCAATCAGCACATATTTACGATCTAATCCTGTGACTGCTGTCTGGGTGGGCATGTCCGCGGAGAAGATGGAGTATAGAGTAGGGCCTAACACGCTTCCTTGAGGTACTCCAGCTTCGATCACTTTAACGGAAGAAGTGCATCCATCGGTCGTCACACGGAAAGTACGTCCTAAAAAAAAGCTCATCACAAGTTGATATAGCTGGGGTGTTAGTATTTTCTTTGCTTTATGTAGAAGACCAGGATGCCACACTCTATCAAAAGCTTGTTGAATGTCTAGAAAAGCTGCTACTGCATACTCTTTTCTTCTAGGGCTTCTAGCGCAAAATTGACAACCCTATGGAGTTGCTCGGGTGTTCCATGATGTGTCCGGAATCCGAATTGGAAATCAGGTATCGCCAATACTACACGCTCAACGTCACGCATTCTGTTAAGAATTATCCTTTCCATAATTTTACCAAGGGAGGGGAGGAGGCTGATTGGCCTATACGAGTCTACCTCTATTGGCTTTTTCCCTGGTTTCAGTATCAGGATTATGTTTGCAGACTTCCAGACCTTTGGGAAATAACCCTCGAGTAAAGCGCTGTTAAAAATGAGTACCAGAAATCTTAGAGCTTGATCAGGTAGGATTTTTATCGTTCTGTTGTCGAGAAGGTCATGACCCGGGGCTTTTTTTTTACTTCAACAAGGAAACAAGTTGTTTCAGTGACAGAGTGACAGGATCCGCGGGCATTGCCATTTGAAATGGCGTTTCAAAAGACTCCGTAACCAAACAGCACTGATTCGCATCGGCAAATGCGAGTGGCTTAAATCTTTCCTCCAAGATGCTTGCAAACACTTCTGCTTTGTCCTGTGATGTGCGGCAACAACCACCAGACGGGCTCCTTATAGCGGTTTTCTGAGAAGCCTGAAACTTGAACTTGAACTTTTCGTGATTCTCCACAGCGAGAATTGTGAGGAGGCATCGGTGCCCATGTTCTCCAAAAGGTTGTCTATCTGATGCTGTTTTCTTTGGGTCAGCACTTTATGGAGCCGATTAAATAGCCTTCTGTAGATCTGCTGGATTCGGAAATCTCCTGTCCTTGCTAACTCCCTTCTGACTTTCCGTTTCAGGCGAAGAAGGTCCACTATTGCAGAAGGTAGGAACTGCTGAACAGAGGCGTGCGCATTGCGTGGAGTTCTCGGTGCAGCATGTGCTGCTGCTTCTGTCAGTTTTTCCATAAATGAGCTTATGGCGTTGTCAATACCTTCTGTACCTTGAATTTCTATGTTTAAGTTGATTAGTTCAGACAGGTGATCCTTAAAAGTCTCGACATGAGTACCAGGAGCTAGGAAACGGGAGCGTAGAGGCTTCTTCAGTGGAACGATGTTTAGCATTGTAGTCTCCACCTGCTATAAATTTGTCACCAAGTGTTCCAAAAGTGACTCAATATTAGCTTTTATCAAACGCTCGTTGGGTGGGAGATACACCGATGCTAAAGTAACCGTTCACTCTGAAGTCTGTAGCTGCACACTCGCTACCTGCCGGTCGTTGGTTTAGATTGGAGGTTGGGTACAATGATTCAAGGAGGAGCGCACTATGACAGTGGCCCCACCTCTGCTGTTTCCACTGGGGTGGACGGCGTGGTAGGTGGAGTAACCAGGTAGAGAAATGCGCTGTCCTTCCCGCACGTGTGTTTCAGTGGCAAGCATGACATCAATATTTTGCATTCTTAGGAAAAGCTGCAGCTCCTCAGAGTTCCTAGCTAGTCCACGGTCATTCCACAATCCGATTTTTATTATTGGTAGGGTCAATTTGACGTCCGTGATATGAGGATCTGAACTAGTTCTCTAAAAGCGTTATTGGATTCCACAGTCTCCTCTATTAGTTTGAACATTTTGTCCATTCTCGAGTTTTTATCCCGGATGGCGCTTTCCAGCGCCCGAAACTTTTTTCCAAGGCCTAAGTCTTGAGGTGAGTCTAGTTCACTGTGGTGTTGGCGAGTCGCAAATGATCCAAATTGAGGACCTTTGGGCCGTGCAATATCGGTGTATGAAATATTACTTCTGATGGCCTCAGCCGGAATGAATCCGTGAGTACAGCTTTCACCTTTTTTAGAGCTGACAGTGTTGCCTTGACCAACAAAAGTAGGGAGTCTTGGCTTTGGCTTAAGCTTCTTTCCTTTTTCAATTCTGACAGGGCAGTTTTTGTCCGTTGAAGCATGATTACCGCCGCAGTTGATGCACAAATAATTGTCACTCGTGCATAGCGTAGAGCCAGTTGCGTGGGGCCCAGCACACTTGCCACAGATTGGATCCTGGGACGATAGTTTTTGGAGTGCCCAAAAATGTGGCATCTCAGACATTGGAGTACTTCTTTCCTGCGACGAGCGTGTTCTATGGTGACTCTGTGTCTTCCAAGTTGCGTTACCTTTAGAACTTCAGAAATTTTTAAGCCGTATTTTATATTAACGAAGAACAGGTTTTGCCTGGTCTTGTCGTTGATAGCCGCTTCGTCATCCCCATCACAGATTTTTTCGTTCTGCAAGTCTCCTTTTCTCGGACAATATATGTTGAGAGTTTCGTAGCCAAGATCAGCAAATGCATTCTTAATTTGTTCCTTGGGAACACTTGCATGCATTCCCTTGAGCACGACTCTGTAGGGTTTGTCTTCTTTTAGTTGATGATGCCAGAACTTACAATTAAGAGAAGTTAATCTCCTTACAACGGCACGGAAGGCCTCAGAGTTGACCGTGTATATCCGTGACACTCCGAAGTATAGTTGCTCTCACCAGCACACGAATTCAGCGCCAGTTCCAGTGCGTGGGGATTGTTGATGTTTGGGACACAAATGGCTGGAGGATTTGAGGATTGTCTGCATTATCAGCAGCTGGAGTTGTTTCTTCTTCATCAGAACTACTTTTAGGCAGGTCTACTTGCATAGTTCGATCTGATTCTTCAGCCAAGGCTGCAAATCGATTATTGCTAAGTGAAGACAATGAGGGTGTCTCAACATTAGATGGCATCTTCTGCAGTTGCGACGCCTGCTTTTTAGTTTTCTGATCTTTTTGAAACGTAATTGTGTTTCCCTTACGTTTTCTGCCCTCAGGTATGACTGATTGGAACGAGCACTTGTTCGTAACATTCGCTGTTTGAGCGATGGGAGGTGCTGATTCAGAAATCGTAGGTGTTCCAAGAGACGTTATTGGGGACCTATAGGAACTTGCTGCTGCTACCACAGTATATGAGCTTGTGGTCGTACAGTTAGCTTGGGTCGTGGTTATGGTGTAGGTAACATTGGTGTTACTACTAGTTGTTACCGATGGGAGAGTGTACATCGCTTGCGGCGGTAAGGTATCATTTGATGATGTTGCGCCATTTGATATCTGTGTGCGAATTGTTGCAGGGCTTGCTCCGGCTACTTTTCTCATCTCCGCTAGTCTTTATCTAGATAGGGAGTGAGTCACTGTTTTATTATCCATTATTACAACTGATATAATTTATTCCTAAATAACACACTGTAAACAACTTCGCTAGTTCGAGCGAAGATCAAACGGTATCAGTCTCACGCTTCGAATGTTCCCAGCTATCGAATGTTCATTCTCCAATGAACAGTTATGGACGACACAACACTGGATATACTATGATGGACGGGGATCAGAAATATGCAGCGACTAAGTTGCAAATTTCATACATTTTTTCCGAAGCCGTTCAAATATATCGATATGCGAAAGGGCAGATGGGTAACGGACGAATGCAGAGTACATTGTAGATAGACGCGAGTACGGATCTACGCAAGAATATATGTATGTACATAGAGTTGGTAATATTACGAATAGTTCATTCCAATAGATTATGTGCTGCAATAACGATAAATTGAAATATTGCAACTAAAACAAGAACTTACTAAATAAACTTGATTGAAGATAATTGCGACTTTCCTGACGACATTCTCCCGACTATCCTCTCTAACTCCCTATATTCGCTGATTTCTTGTATGCTATCGCTGCTATCTTACAAAAGTATGTAGAAAAGACACTTGAATAACAAGATGCGTAACGGTCATACGTTGGTCTTGCACTATACAACCACTTTTTTGGTGGCGGCATTAATTGCTATCTTCCCGCTCGCGTAAAATTGAGAGCATACAAACCTAGAATTAGTATTCACTTGCTTGTGTGAGTAAAACAGTAAGCAAAAAAGTGTGCAAGTTGCGTAGTTGTACTAGAAGACGATTTTCGGTTCGAAATCAAACGAATTTGGTTATTGTTTTGGTCAATTTCGTTGTAATATGATCTAATAAAATATTATTTAAAAATTGATCCCGTGATTATTATTTTTATAAGATGTTATTTTAATATTCGTTAGCTAAAATCGCCGCTCGAATTGGCTACCGTTTACATATGAACATTACTTATCAACTTTTATTGATTATAAACGCGGATATATTATTAAAATTTTAAGAAATAGTAGCAAGCGATGAGCTCTATGTATTTGCCAGCTTTAAGCAAAGGAATTAAGAGGAACTAAATAAAGAAACAATAAATTTGGCGCGCTTTTCTACCCACCCAAAATGGAGCGGTTTTTTAAAACATCAAATTAGAATATAACAAAAACATTCAACAAAATAATTGCATTTCAAATAGTGAAAATTGATATGCATTGGTATGCATATTTTTTTTACTTGTATACTAGTAATTTGTACTAATAAATATACTAAATAGTTAAAACACTTCATATGCAACCTGTTTATTGCAAAATTGAATTTTTGAGACAGGAATCACTAACTTCAAATATATTTTCCACGTCGCAAGTTGAATGAAGACTGGATAACCACCCAACCACCTGGCTACCAAACTTCTGGACAACAGCCAATCCCTCACCCAACATTAAATTATAAATTTAGCCCTTACACAAGTACATCCTAGGTACTCCCCATATGTTAATGTTAATCTGGAACAAAAATTCGAGAGAGCCTGGAGCCAGCACAAAAAAATCGTGTGCTAAAAATCGTATGGCGTTACGCATCTTATTATTCTAGTGTCTTTGGTAGTACAATAGAGTTTGGAAGTATGATAGAAGTAACTTTACCCTGCAGTTCCACAATTCATCGCTTCTCTAAACAACGCACAGCCGACCATCTAACCCCAAAAAAAATTTGAATTGATGAAAATTTCCGATTTAATTCATTCAACTCACAAAAGTGAGCATCTAAGGTAATACATACATTATTACATTTTTGTGTTTGTTATACTAATTGTTTGTATTTATTGTTCCATCTTAGCCGTTCTGCACCTTTCAGAACTGGTGCATACATACCTGGGGACAGCCGGTTTTGGTAGCCAAGGCTACTTTCTAAGCTTAAGCCGGCAAAACCTTCAACACGTCAACCCCGATTACTACACGCCATCCCTATTTGTATTTTTCAAAATCTCACCAATTTATTTACCATCTATTTCTTTACGGCAGGAGTAAAAATGCAATGTTAATGGCTTGCTGCGGCAAGCCCAAGCCAAGTCTTCATAAACAGGAAAAAGAAAAATATTTTTGCATTATTTTTTGTTTGATCTTCCGCACTAGGCATGCTTTATTTGCATTCTCGGCCTCTTAAATCAGTAAAATATACAGAAAACTAAAAAAAAAGTTGACGTCGGTGCCAAACTAGACATAAATTGGAACCTTTTATACTATAATTTCTTAAATGAAAATTCATTGTGCAATGCATTTAAAGTAAATAATTGTTATCCGAGAGATTAAACCCTTAACTTTTACTTCATCCTATTTGTCAAAAATGTTTGTTCGCCTATGCTAGTGCTTATGTCCAAAAGTTATAATCAGCGGAAGCAGTGCACCGCAAATCATAATAAACAATTCACTATATTTTAATGATTGTATACTATTGCCTCCACATATGTCATTCGTAGCATCGCGGGATTCCTCTAGCAGATGATAATCATGCTGATCGCTCTTCGTCAATCCCCCCTGAGTAAGCTCTGGTAGAACATGGACAGTTGCTACGTACAAAAATGTTCCAGCGGAAAATAGCATAGCAATACCAGTGGCATTTACAGAATTTAACGTATCCTTCTGCTCCTGGCCGATTCCAAAATAAGTTAGAATAGTCAAAAGGGGAGCCGACAGTGAAAACAAGACTAGGTGTCTGCGAATTTGATGTCTGTCAACTTTTTCGTGAAGTAGGAAAGTCACTAACCCAAATGCTGCTGGTGCTTTATGAAGCATTATAGCCAAAAATACAATTATCTCAACGTCTTGATGGCTAGTGGTGGCAGCTGCTCCCAACGCAACTCCATCAGCTGCAAGGAAACATGAATTTAAAGAATTGCTAGGTACACAAATATGAGCATGTTTACCTGCGGCATGCACAACCAATCCTAGAGTTAGTGTGGCATTGTTTTTTTTATTAATTCCAACATTGCTCTTTCGCTGAGAGATGTCCACCAACATCATGAAGACAAATCCAAGCACAAGGGAAAGTCCAATGGTTTGTGAGTAATCTGGTTGCTCCGGAGCCGATGTTCGATTTTGGGATTGTGCACTCCCGACATACAATGATCGAATACCCTCTGGTATAATAACGACTAGAGCAGTTCCCACTAACAATCCAGCTCCTAGCACAGTGACACATTTTAGTTTTTCCTTTAATGACATTTATTGAGTAGTAAGAATACGTAAAATCAAAATTTGTAGTTTTAAAAGTGCCCTTGTATAATACCAACCTCGCTTAATTTCATCAACATCGGTATGCTACCTGCCAAATACGACCCCACAAGCATAACCAACACTAATAATATGAGAATTATTGTCTCCTCAGCCATGATTGCCCAATTTAATTTAAATGGGCATAATATCATAAAGGTTACATGTTTTTGCCAACTCAATCAATTACTAGAGATGAACGTGATTAACATTTTAAAAACGCTTTTACGGCAACCAACTGTGGAACGTAATACCATATTCTACAAAAACACTTCAACCTAATTAGCATCTCAACGAAGAAAGGGTTGCGGCAATCAAACAGAGCACACCAATGTTCCAAGACAGTTAATGGTTCCAGTAAGTAATCACAACCTACGTTTCAGCCAATGGCCGATTATTGAAACTTAATGAATACATTTGAGAATGTCCGACTAATTATACATCGACGTGGTGCAGTAGAATTCAGAAAACCACTCTTCGATGTTGAGTAATAGTTCCTAAACAATTTTTTACTTGATGGAGAACAGAATTCTCTTATGAATATTTTTTGGATATATTAAGCTTACCTCTGAAAATCGTCTTCAGGGAATACGGTTGTGAACAAAAAACAAGGTTCTGTTTAGGGTCTGCTTAAGAAAAGTTGCGTTTCTCCCAACTTTTGATATATCGGGTTTTTTATTTTTCCCATGTATAAATGGCGTTTTGTCTACGCATGGCTATTGACTTATCTTATTGCTTTTGTCTATATACATAAATACTTTTTATTTTATTCTAATGTATTATATCAAGTCAAATATTAATCTACAGCAGAGGTGCCCACACAAATTGAATGGCATTTAAGACTTCCACTGGGTTTGGTAAGTACGTAAGTTACAGTTTACCGTGATAACAGATAATCATATCAATTATCTTAATTTAATACTATTTTTACCGGGTAATACAATAAAATAAAGTATGGTACCAAAAAGTTTGTGGTAATGTAAATATAAAAAAAAATTACGTTACTTTAAGATTATTGGTTTTAAAGATTACCGTTTGTTCCGTATTTCTACTGCGGTAACTAAGTTTAACCAATGACCAATAAAAAACTGGTGTTGGTTATAAGTTTGGTATAAGTATATTATTAAATTAAATTTTCACTCAGAAATATACCCCAACAATTGTTTTGGAATAATCTATCGAATGGAGCACAGAATAAAAGACATATATTTTGTTGTAAAGTTTTCTTTAACGTTTGCTTTTCTTAGCGATTGTTGTTACCTTTTAAAGGTGATTCTAGAACAACAAAAATAACTAAATACTTTTAATAATTAGAGATACATTGATCAAATGTAATCAAATCAAATATATGGCGTTCCGTGAGAATGTAATTTAACTCAGTGCACAACTTGTATTATAAAATTTACATGGAGCAGTTTGGTTACCTAAGGTCATACTAATAAGCAGCATTGTTGATTCTGGTCTATTTATTGTCAAATAGGTAAATACTCGTCAAATATGTAATAAATAGACCTTTCATAAGTCGGACGTTTAACGGATGGGTCCCCCTTCTTTTTGATAATATAGTAACATTTTATACGTTTATATAAACACAACTAACTAAACTGCTTAGACAAATGTTTATTAAGATTGTTGTGTATTATGTATGTATGTATGTATATGTGCATTTTATGTACATACATGCATAAGTACCTGGAAGCTTATTAATTTACGAAGTTTTAAGAAAAGAATATTGGAAATCCGGTTTTCCTCTTTAAATAAAGGTGTGCAAATATTAAACAATAACAAAGTTATTGCCTATATTTCGAATATAAATTATTATACCAGTTACTCGTAAAGTAAAAGGGTTTACTATATGTGTTGAAAAGTATGTAACGGGTAGAAAGAAGCGTTACCACCAATGGTTGCGCATTGATTAAAACTGGCCACGAAATACGATTGATTAATTCCTGTTTCCATATTATTTTTCTGCACGTTTACACTCGCGTCCTTTTGAAATCCTGTCCAGTAGTATTACCCGCGTCGAAACACTTGTCTACTTGTTTCACTTGTTTTCCTTGTGCTCCTGGAAATCACACTAGCCGAATAGGAACAGCTCTTTTGGATCGGCAACGTGAATTTTCTTCTTTTTGCAACCTTATACAGCTTGGCAAAGTTAACCATTGGCCAAAAAACCCCAGTGCATATTGTTCGATACGAACCAATGCCTTGCCTTGCCTTGCATAAACTCCGACAACGCTCAGGAAGACATGTTTAGAATTATTTCGTACGTGTTGGCAGTCCACTCCACAAGTGGTTTCTCTACGCCGTCGAAGCGGAAAGGAAATGGGTACTAATTCGCCTGTGTATTTCGTATCACCAAACTTCCATATCTTTGCTAAAAGGACGACATACCGTCTGCGTTGTTTATTCTCATTCTCTATCGATAGCTTTAGCTCAGCAACAGGTAGAAGAAGCGAGAAGCGTGACCTTTCCCAAACGATTGAGAACTTGGGCTGAGTTCTTAAGGCGTGCGCCGTGCAGCCGCAGCTTGATCGCCAGCTCCGATAACCCGTGTAGCGGATGACTGAACGTAGACGAACGGATACTAGGCTTACTCCGGGCGAAGCTACAATATGCCGTCTGTACCGACTTGCTGCAGCGATCCACCCCTTAATACTTTCCTGACTAATCGGACAGCTGCCTTATGTTGCTCACCCGTGTTCTGATGACTTCTAGCGCCGAACCCGTTTATATAGTATTTATAGTGGGGATATTTCTCAAAATCTTCATTCTCACAGTCCAAAGTAAAAATATTTTTACTGTCACTACGCAGATGTTTTCCGTCATTTTGCCGTCTGGCGCTTCAGCCCATCTCAGGTCGTTCTGTTTATTCTTTTTACCACTACCACTATTACGCACTACCGTTACTACGCGCTAATTCTTCACAGAAATGGCAAAGCGAAGTTGATTTTAAAGTAAACTAAACTCACACTGCCAAAAAGTCGAAATTTGTATTACCTAAGTAAAAACGCGCCTTTGTAATTTTTCCTATCGTGTGTATTTATTTCAGTTTAATCCTCGTAAATTTCATGAAATGGGTAATTGCTTAAAAGCTAGCACTTTAGATGACATTTCACTTTTACGCGGCAATGACAGTACTAACGGGCCAATCAGCGGGACACAGTCAATGTATCATGTAAGTACCAATGCACGGTTTTAACAATAATCGACAACTTTGAATGAACTTCAATATTTACCAATTATTTTGCGTTTATGACCAACAGTAAATTTCAAATGAATGACTTATTCTTCAACAGTTTCACTAAAAATGGTTTAAATGGATGGCGTAATAGCACCTCAATGTTGTAAAAATCCTGATTTTGCTTTTACAGGAAGCAAACGGATTCCTGGTCAGTAATATTTTTAAAATCAGGGGTATGTATAACATTTAGTCTTCAAAATTCATATTTCAGATTAATTTTTTAAAATATTTGTAACAAAGATATAAGCAAAATAATGTTGTTTTTAAAACTCGCATATACATTCTCCAAAAACAATCTGAAAAAATAAAATCTTATCTTATGGGATTCGTCTAACAAAGTGCCACTCTGTTACTGGCTATGCTTGAACTTCACATTCGATCTTCTTTTTCGAAGTAAATAGGAGCAGTTCTCGAAAATAAGAAAGACAGATGGGTGGGGGAATAAAAGAGAAGAAAATTAGGGTCCAGAAAAAAAGGCTTCTCAAAACACTTTTTAAAATGTGCTTTAAAATTATGTAAGATGATTTAAATATTAATAGTAAAAATACAATGCACTGCTTTGAATTTCTGAGGAATTTAAATTGCACGTCATGAAAAACGAATTGCTCGGAGATCACTGTGAATTTCCGGGAGTTCGACAAAGATTCCTTAGGGATTGGTACTGAAGGGTATTTCTTTAAGAAAAGGTTATTTGTATATGTGAGTTTTAAACTTTTCAGTATTTTGCCGTTAAATCCGATAAAATTATAAAATTAAATAAAAATGCGAATTTGACTTGAGAATTTTTTAAAAATAGACTGAACCAGAATCTTTTTACCTACTTCTGACGTTAAGACTGGGCAAAAACAGGATTCTTCCAACTCTGAGATTCTTTGTCCGAATCCTTGCTTCAGGGAATGTCCAAATATACTTAAAACAATATCCGAATAATTTAATGAAGGCCTCATTTTGTAACATAGTGTTATTTATTACCTTTCACAATTAAAAAAAAATTAGAAATAATTTAACTTGTTCCTAATTCTGCTCTCCGCTGTCGAAGTTTTTACGTGACAAGGCAAGAACGTATAATAACAAATCTTTTGGCGATAACGTTTCGGCAGTATGAAACGTATCTAAAAAATTGGTAATAATAATAAAAAAAACAATAATATATGAAAACTTTTGCTATAAATTTTATAATATAATTATAAATTTTTTTTTGACAGAATAGAAATATTTACAAGACTAATAAAAAAAGATAAAAATATTAAAATCATTTTTAATAGTGATGGCAGTTTTCGGCGTTTTAAAACGTTCTAAAATCAACTTGCGCGGCGAAGGTGTCACAAGAGTCTACATGTCTAGTCTAGCTTTTATAGTTTCAGAGATCTCGACGTTCTCCAGACGGACATGGCCAGATCGATTCGGCTATTGATATTCCATTTACCTGTTACAGACTTTTTAACGAATGTAGTATATCCTTTTACTCTACGAGTAAAGGGTATAATTGAATTCGGTTCAGGACAAAGATTTCATTTAAAATTACGCAGAGTCGTAAACTTTCATTAAAACACAGGTTGTATCTTCTAAGTCGATTAGTATGAATAAATTAATGCTCATAGTTCGAAAACACGAGATATCCTTAGATGTCCGTCATGTTTCCTACCATGTATTAGTGATGGCAAGAGTTGGCAGACCAAATAATCAACTTTTATAAGCTAGGCCACACTCTACCGACCCAATCAGCTCCAATTCTCCAAAATCACTCACATTTTCATAAACTGCTCCTCTTAGTATGCGTATTCAAAGAGCATTAAAATTTCGATAATTTTTTCGATCAAGATCATTCATATTGATGGCAGCAGATTTGTAATTCTACGGATCTATAGTTGTCTTTTTTACTGTAGTAGAATTATAAAAGAAGCGGTTGTGGCCTTATACAGATTCTTTGCCGTTGTTATGTGTGAGTTTTATGATTTTGAAGAAAAGATCGCACGTAACACATTAATATAGGTGGGTATTCATATCAGCGGATCACTTCTTGCCGTTCTCTTGGAAGGTCCGGCAACTTTAGTAAGAGCGCTATGTGGGGTCACAGCTTACTGTAGGAATAAAAAGTAAGCCAGAAGAAAAAGTGGTCCTGGTTTCTCACTACGTCATCAAAGATCGAGACTGAATCGCGACTCAATTACGATTTTTACGATTACGATAATTATTTTTTTAATATAATCCATTTTGTGAACTCACTAAAATTGAAAAAAAAGAAGTTATAATACTATCGTATTAGCTTAATTAAACCTAATTTACTAAAAGTTACATTTTGTGTCTCAACGTTATATTATTATAAATATATTGTTATCTATAATTCAATATTATTGATAACAATGAATTAGAGGTGATTATATAGTTTTATCACTTGGATTTAATAAAATTTAATTTCAGCAGGACGAGCATTATCAACGAGAACTTTACCCTTCCACGTTGGCTTCGGCAACGCGTACGCCATCTTCCAATAATCGTCAACTTTCCGATGAAAATCAAGTGAAAATTGCAAAGCGTATTGGATTAATGCAGTACTTGCCAATAGGAACATACGACGGGAGCTTGAAAAAGGAACGAGAATGTGTTATTTGCATGGCTGAATTTTGTGTTAATGAAGCTGTGCGTTATCTTCCTTGCATGCATATTTATCATGTTAATTGTATAGATGATTGGTTGTTGAGAAGTCTTACTTGTCCCAGTTGTTTAGAGCCTGTTGACGCTGCCTTACTGACGAGTTATGACTCGGCATAGCGTTATGAAAACAATAATTTTTAATTTTCTTCTGTAATGTGTTTTGGGATAACAATATATCTTTTGCTTTCCAGGTATAAATTATTATTTTATATATTTAAATTGTTTATTGTTTTATCATCGAAACGTGTTATAATATTTAATTCATTTTAGACTAAACTAAAATTATCCATAATTGCAATGCTGGGGAACTTAAAAATTTGAAACCTAAATTAGTTTGTGTACATATTTAAATTGTTTAACCAATAAGAATTCGATAATCGGTATTAAATTAGTCGTGATTTAATAAAATGTGAGTTTTATTTAAATCCGTCAGTATTTCTTTTTTCTAAAGTATGGTGTATGGTTCTGGGTAGCACTTAACGACGCTCGTCTATGCGATCATTCATTCCTTGGTAAATGACCAGAATTCCAGACCTTTGACTATACAAATAGCTATAAACTCTAAGAACGCGTAGATTTAGATGAATAAATTCGTGCTGTTGCTCACCAAAGTGTAACTGAGTATCCTTGCCGAAAAAGCACGATCGTTTAAATCGTTCACGTAAGCATCTCACCGGCAGAAAAATTTGTTGATCCACAGTTGATCCGTGCTCTTGCTACTAACCTTCCATTTCCATGAGTAATTAAAAAAAAAACATGGTTTTTCATTTACTCATTTATTAAATGTAATACGATATAATATTCATTTGTGGCTCCAATGTGTGAGATTAAACCGTTCCGCTTAGATTTTGAATAAGTTATAGGAAAAATGTTTATAATCAATGTATGAATATGCATTTGCATTACAATTATATTAATATTAAGTAACTTTTATATTTTGTTAGCACACATATTAACAAAAAAATTCGAAAATATACATTTTCTTTACGGATTTATTATATTAATATTATTTGCTGAGCTACAAAATGATTTTTAAACAATTATAGCTGCATTTTCTGTTATCTTGAACAAAACATTTTTATAAAAATTCAGAAGCAATTGTTTGTGCACTCACACATAAGCTGTGCTTGGGATTTCTTCGAATTGTTATTTTTCAGAATGTGTGCGGTTTGTATGTTTATATGAATATGCCAATGGATGCCAATGAGTTTTAAACTGCGGTTTCAGTATGACTGTGGGATGATAGACGTTCGACATCAATTTCGGGTATGGTCAGCTCATCAGGTATATTATCGGCATACTCAATGGAAGATGTTTCCGAAAGGCGTTTGCTCAACGAAGTCTGCTTACGCAGCACCTCTGCCAGGGATGTGTTGGTGTGATCACCATAACGGGCGTCCAGACCCTGTCGGAATGCGTTTACCACACGAATCTACGCGTACATTTAGTAAAAAGAAAAGAACAACACCAAGAACAGTGACAAAAGAGACATAAAAAACAGTATAAGAACAAATTTTATCAGTCAAGCTAAAGATCCAATTATGCACATATGAACATACATACGTTCTTTATGTATATGTATAGTTTAAATGAAATACAAAGCAGATGCGCACACATGAATTGTAATTCAGATGTTAAGCTAATAATAATAATATCCAAATAAAATTAACTCAGACGGACAAATAATCGGTAACGACACTTCATATGTGTTGCTTATCCTTTTTAACTTCGCGTGTAAGTTGGTATAACTCGGACGACAGTAGTCTAGTAAATTACCAAATAATCAGCAGTCTAAAAGCAATGTTTGTTTAATCATGCATTATGCAACAACTATTTTTTGATTTTCATTTAAGTGGTGACGAACAAACATATTAAACAACAAATTAAATCGTTGTTCTACAGGATAAAAGTTAAGCCAGTGAGCAAGAAGATCCAACTAAAATCATAATTACCAAAGAAGTGGAACCATATATATGTTGGATATATTCGGGATCCCGAACCATTATTTTTTTTAATTAGGTAGTTCGTAATTAGGTAATTAGGTTCTATTAGGTGGGTTAAGAAATTCGCCATATTTGTTTAAGCTTGTGGCCGACACACAATACGCCTATTATATTACCTTGTCTTCCAAATAGAGCTAATTATTACGGACAAACAGACGATTTAAACAGAAAAATTAAAATTGTGTCCTTAATGAATGACAAACGTATTACAAGTATATCATCATAGCTCATTCTTATAGTCACACTTGGCCGAGATGAAACTTAATATTTCGGCTTATTCTAAAACTGTAATAATAACATAAAACAGAATTGTGAAGGCTTACAGCTTGATCAGTGTTGCTCTTGCTATATGGGACCGGAATTAAGCGTTCTTGCAATTCGCCGCCTATTACCTTTAAGAATGAAGAGAAAGAGAGGGAGATAGAAAGTAACATAGAAAAAATAAGTGGGAAAGAGTAAAATAGCCATAAAAAGGTTGAAATGTATTTAATTTAGTCGCTATAAAATGGATCACTACTAACACTTTGGCTTTACTGTATTATTGTTCAATTGTTTATAAGCAAATAAATATATGTTTAACTAATTTGAAATTTGGTGTTCAAAAGTATACAAAAATATGTAATTATCATAATAATGTACATTTTTGTAAAATAATCAAAATACAAATATTCATGTAATAGTTAAAGTGAAGTATATGGTTAAGATTTTTACATACTAATAATTCTGGAAAGGACACACTAGATCTGTTATTTGAAATTTGGCAATTATTTTTTATATATTCTGAAGATTATATAAAACCTTTTCAGAATCGTCCTGCAAAATGTATTAACATCCCATTACCTATTTTTTGCTCATTTACGTCAACGAGCGCTTTATTAAAAGGTGAATAGAAATAGATTATTCTTTATTCATTTGTATGCGCCTCTTTATTAATAATAGTTTTTCCCTAGTAGATGGATTAAAACATATATGAATATTAAATCATATAAATTTCATTACATCGTAAGATAGATCGCGTTTACAAACATTTTCAGTATAAATGTAAAACTTTGATAGTATATCATTATTAGATATGGAAAAAAAACACCATTGGAATTTGGTGATGTTAATTTAAAAGCTGCGATAAAAGTACTGAACAACGCTGTTATGTTGACAAACAACCATATGCTTAAAACTTCGTTAATACTACACATTAATCAGAGAAAATACACATAGGATTTGAAAGGTTGTTAGTAAAAATACAACTACTAATGTAATAAATTTTTTTTATGCAAAAGACGAAGTTAGTTTCGTAAAATGCATGCTTGCTTACATTTTCTAGATTGAATAGTTAGGCATTATAATTAGAGAACATCATTTTGTTGAACATTTGGAAACCATTGGTTTACTTTCTATGGGGTGTTCTTAAAAGGATGAAGATAAAAAACAATTTAATTTATATAAATTACATCTTCGAATTTGCTTACTATACATGCAGTTTTAAATTCAAGTTTGCTCCTTTAAAGTAAAAAGTTTAATTGAAAAATGATCGCGCATACACTTTTTTTTTGATTTCATATATTTTCTAAAAACAAACATTGAGTTGAGGCACTCATTTTGGGATTGCGTTTAAGAAAGCATGTCCAGTCTTATTTGGAATTGTTATTAAGCTTAGCCACGATCTGGTGCCTCAAATGAATACAAAGTCCACTTTAATTAGGACGCTACAATATTTCAAACACCCACTAAAACTGTTTAAATTCGAGTCTCATTCTGTCCATTGGAATGTTTAGTTTCGTTGTTACCACGTATTTGTTGTTGTAAAGTTTGTGCGATTTTAGAGAAGCTTTGGCTCGAGGAAGGAGCGTCAGAGGGCATTGCTGAGCGCTGGATAGTTAGTCCGTTGTGCATGGTACGCTGTTGCTGTTGCGGGTCTTCGTCAATATAAGATATGTCCGGCGGCAGCATGGCACTTGACACGTTGTGTTGAGTCTGCGGTGGTAGTTTTGGTTGCTGTTGTTGCTGGTGGTTGATGTAATTTGGTTTGAGTAGATTATAATTGTACAACGGGTAACCACCGCCCACTGCAACTGGGATACCCGTACGGGGACTGCGTAAGCTATGTAAACTGTGCATCGATCGTCGTTCATTTAGGTCTTCCAATGTCGAGCGGAAAGCACGAATCACACGCAACTGAAACAAACAAAATTAGACAAAAAACGAACAAAAACGGAAACATAAGCATAAAGGAAACAACGAACGAAACAACATTACAGTTTAAACATATACATATATATTTTTGCATATACTTCATGTAAATTCCTATAAAAAAACACAAATTAAAATGATTAATAAAAAATAGAACATAAACAAATCATTTTCTCAGGCGTCTATTAAGCGCGTTCGAAACAATAATTTAAGTATTAATCTTAGCAATCTAAGTTCTTTGCATGGCCGGTTAGGGTGTTGTTTTATACATACGTGTAGTGTACACATCAAAATACAGTTTGTTGACATGCGTATATAATGTTTTATTAGATGAGGCGGACGTAAATTTTTAAAATTATCTGAATAAAGCGGACGATCAAATTTTTATAGAATTGGATTTTTTGTTTTGTTTGTATTTATAACATAGTTATCCAACAAAAAAGTACTTTTTGCCTTTAAGCGTGGATACTGTTTAAAAGGATATATTATATTGCAAGCAGTTGTAATATAGTCTGTGCACGTCAATTTTCTACATTTTAGTACCTGGAAAAGGTATTTTACTAGATGTAGAAACAGGTAACACAAAGGCGCATGCTAAACCGTTTAGTTTTCGCGCTTTTAATTTATCTTGTTTGAAAAATAAGTTTAAGTCCAGTTTCTCGGCTCTTAGATTACCCGTTTGTTATTTGAGTAAGTGCGGCTATATTTTGTAAGAAGCTTTCACAGCACAGCCGTCACAAGAATCTGCATTTTTAGTTCAACTTCAGTCCTCTTAAGTCGTTCCCTAGATCTCGACGTCCAGGCGGAAGAACAGACATACCAGCGGACTTGGCTAGTGCTCCTGATCAAGAACCTACATACTTAATTAGATTTCGTCTCCTTGTTTAACTTGAAAATTTTGTTTTGTTATTGAAAATAACGCTCACATTTTCTATGGATTTTATTCATTAAAGTCCTGTCCTTTTTCTTTCATCTATATTTGGGTAACTAGGATATCTATGTCCCTAAATATGTCATCCATAAAAATTGTCCATCTTTTGGGGGAAAACGTTAACTCTTGATAATTAAGTGATATACATGAGACAGATTTATATTACAAAAGTTAAAACCAAATGGTTTTACAAGACAAATATGTATCGATAGTTACATTTTATTAATTGTAAGAATTGGATTTCGTTTAAGTTTGATTGTATGATGTGTATGTTTATGGAGA